ATAAAGCTACTGAAAGATATTTGTGTTTTCAAGAAAAAGCTTTAAGACACAAATATGAACAAATTATCATTAGGAATACAAGCAGCAGTATAACTCTCTTTATTTACTTCTCAAAATTTTCACTTATAATTATGAATCCACCTTTAGATATTAATAAAAATAAAGCAATTTCCATTTGCATGCATGTCAAAAGATCTCAAAAAATCATTTAATTTTGTTTATAAAACCACACTGGTTAAAAAAGTTATTTCAAGAACAAAAGAATATCAAAAATCAAGTTAAAAATGCGAATTAAAAAGGCCTTTATTAATTAATTTTTATATTACTACTTTTAACTACACAAATTTTCTATCCAGTAAGTACTGCAGGAAGAATGAGTGAAAAGTTGATTTTTAGCAAAGGAAAAAACATTGTGCTCAATTTCAAAATACAAAATGAGGGATTTAAACCTAGCTTTTTAACATAAAACTAATATAGTGTGCTCAATTTCAAAATGCAAGATTGAGTACTTTAAGCTAATAAAGCCAGTGATTTCTTTTTTCAGGAATTCAGGTAAAATAATTTTTAACTGTTTTACAGTCAGAAGCATTTAGCAAGAGTAAATTTCTTAAATGATTTTTATATTTAGTTAGATTTCCTTTATAAATTATGCAATGAGTATAATTATTAAAATACTTCGTAGTTTCGTTTGTAGCATTACTTAAGCAAAAGCAATGGTGTTATCTTTTCAAAAATACAATAACCTTGTTTAAAAAGGTAATTTTTAACAGATTTAAGCACATTGTAATTATGTTTTCTAAAATAGCTGCTATGAATATTAAGTTTAATTGCTAGTTTACTTAGGTCATTTTTGATTTCTTTTTGTTTAATTGATTTATCAAATTCTTTATGCAAGTTTTTTGCTACTTCGATGAGCATATTAAGACACTCATAATTGATATTACAATTAGTCTCTAGTCTAAGGACATATTATAGTGTATTCAACTTTAATATATCTAAGCACTTTTAACTAAGACATTATTAAAATTTTTTAGTATTGTTTAGAAATGCTGCTAAAAATAAGTGAAACGATTGAAATACAATTAAAAAATCTGTTTTATTCATTAAATGATTTGAATTAACTAGATTAATAAGCATTGTAAACTAAATTTTTCAGAAATGCTATTTATTATATTTTTTGCATTTCTTTGTCTATCTCTTGGCAACAATTAATATATCTAATAAATGAAATATTCAATTAAAAAATAAAAAGTTTTATTCAATTTTAAATTGAGGTTCTAATTTTGATACAGAAATTAATTTACAGTATTTGATTTCATAAATTGCAAAGTTTTGCAACAAAAGATTGTATTTAAACCTTCATTTGGATTTACTAATTTGCATTTTTTGGCAACAAAATAAAAAGTTGTGTATAAACATGCTTTAGGAGCTTATAGAATTATAATTATTTTCAAAAAAACAATATGGAAGAAAATACTATCCCAAAAGATCATTATAAGAGAATTAAAGAAAATTCAATAAAATTAAATATTTCAACAACTTACAACATAATTATATACAGATTTGACTATGAGTTTCTGGTTAATCATAAGAAAAGAAGAAATTTGGATGCAAATTGTACAGAATGCTTAAGAATAAAAATGAAAAATCAAGACTTCCTTGAAACATATTATAAAGTATATGAGTTAATAACTTACTGGTATGGCTATTATTTGTATCAAGGTATTGGTGGCCCTGAAGATAAAGATAAAGCATCAAAATTATATAAAGAAGCAGCGGATGAAGTAATTGCTGGCGCACAATTGCATTACGCATTTTCATTAATAAAAAATAAAACTGTAAAAGACATACAAACATTTATTAATTATCTTAATCAGTCTGCTGAAAATGGTAACAGTATAGCTCAATATAATTTAGGTGATATTTATTTTTTTGGTAAATTGAACATTTCCATAGATAAAGAAAAAGCAAAGAATTATTAATATTGGCAGCTAAGAATAAAAACACAAAGGCAATAGAATTGTGCAGAAAAACAAACATTAATCTTGATCAAACTAA